GGCTATAGCGGGCTATTTTGCCCTAGAACCGGATACAGAGTATAATATGCAGCAGGTCTTTTGAGAATAGAAATGTGATGTCCTTTTATACCTGTCAATAGAGTAAAATCATGGAACTGTGTGACAGATAAGGATGAGGAACTTAAATTCGTCTGACGAGTTTCCTTCATTCCTTTCATTTGTTTCTATTTTTTTTTTTAATTTAATGGCGGCAGTCTTTCCAGAGCTTCAAATTAGTGTGTGTTCTTTAAAAGGTGTGGCTCCTTTTGAAATAACAAAAATTTAAACGAAATTAAACTTTTTTTTGATTTGATCCATAAATTGAGTCAATTAATAATTTAACATAACCTAAATTCTTTTATGTTTGAACTTCTTGATAAAAAGTAGCGTAATTAAATCTTTCTTGCATAATTTTTTGTAATTCTCGTACTCATCCAGTTATCATCATAAATTCGAGAAAGACAGAACTTGAATTTCAATAGAAATAAAAGCACAAGACCGCGTGACGGAAAAGGAACACACGGTTTCTAGTTAAGTTAAAGTTGCGTTTTTTTTTTATTTATTCAAATGGATTCTTTGCGCCGACCGGGTGGAGAGCATAATATGCGGCAGCTTTTTTCGGCATAGAAATGTGATGTGTGTTATACCTGTAAAGAGAGTAAAATCACCGAGGAAGTGTTACAGAGTATGATAAAGAACATAAATTCCGCTTTGACGAGTTGTCTTGTTCTTATTCTTTTTTTTTGTAAAACCGTTTTATATTTATTTGATTTAAGATTAACCGTAAGTTTTAGTATCTTAGCTTAACTGGTGGGAGGGAATAAACCCGATTTATTGTGTAAAATATTTCTTGCTGTTTTATTTTATTATCGTGTTTTAGCGGGCGCTCACCACCTGAAATTCGTGTCTCCGGTTTGAGAGCAACCCCGGCGCTCCCTCCTTCGGAGAGGGAGCTGGCGCCCGAGCGACCGACACGTTATCGGCGAGATTGCGGGACCGTCCGGCCGTCACACCGAAATTTCGTCGCAATGTTATAGCTGTCAGTACTACGTCAAGGAACTTAAATTATCCTCTGAAGATTGCTCTTTTTTCTTTGTGTTTTCAAATTTGTGATATTCAAATATTTGCTCTGTGTGGGTAAACACAATAGTTCAAGTATGTTGTGTTGCTATTGATGACAAGCTTACTAAAGCTCCGAAGTTTAAAAGGCGTGGTCGCTTTTGAAATAACTAAAAATTTAAACAAAATTAAACTTTATTTTGATTTGATCCGTAGCTTGAATTAATGAATAATTTAATATCATGTAAATTCTTTGTAGTTTGAAATTCTTGATAGAGTGTGGCGTAATTAAATGTTTCTTGCTTCATTGCTTGTAATTGTGGTATTCATCCATTAATCATCATAAATTCATGAAAGATAGAATTTGAATTTTTATCGGAAGTAGAAGCACAAAACCGCGTTTTATGTCCTTGGCACAAACGGATCTTCAATTTAAACTTCACAGAGAGACCCGGCTCCGAGTAAAAGGCGCAGTTTGGGCACAGCTGGCTATTTTGCGTTAATACCGGATACAGAGTATAATATGCGACAGGTTTTTTGGACATAAAAATGTAATATATGTTGTAACCAAGCGAATTTTCGCAGGCCGAAAACCGTGACGGGCACCGCGAGAGCCGGGATTCTTACCTGAAGTCTTCCGAAGCGGAGAAGTGTTACCCTGGACTGTGGCTATTTTTTTTTGGAAAGTTTTCGGAAAGTGTAGCAGAAGTGCAGTTCGACTCTCCGACCTCCGCAAGTACCTTTTGGGTCGCTTGTCCGTTTACGTATCGGTTTTTGAATCGCCGCCCCCGAGCGAAAAACCGTACCACCGTCACCGGTTTTTCTTGTCGTCACCGTCACAAGTCGAAACCGTCGTGCACGCCTCGTATACCGCCACCGCACTCCCCTCCAAGGTCGCCGCCCCCAAGACCAGTAGAAACTTTGAAGGAAGTCGGCGTCCAGTAGACGTCTTGTTCGTATTCTTTTTTTTTGTAAAACCGTTTTATACTTATTTAATTTAAGATTAATCGTAATTTTTTTACCTTAACCGTGTAGCTGGTGGCAGGGAATAAACGCGATCTATTGTGTAAAATATTCCTTGCCGTTTTATTTTATTGTCGTGTTTTCGCGGGCGCTCACCACCTGAGCTCCGTGTCTCCGGCTTGAGAGCAACCCCGGCGCTCCCTCCTCCGGAGAGGGAGCTGGCACCCGAGCCACCGCCACTTTTGACCGAAGGCGCCACCCACGGCGGCGTGTAGGTCGCCGCATAAGCTTAGGTGGGCCAGACGTACTTTTAAATCACCAATACTAGTCGGCCCAAGGCGTGGCACCCAGGTACGCCGCCACCACAAGTTATCGGCGAGATTCCGGAACCGTCCGTTCGTCGCACCGGAATTTCATCGCAATGTTATACCTGTTAGTAGAGTAAAATTATCGAAGAAAAGTCACAGACTACGTCAAGGAACTTAAATTATCCTCTGAAGATTTTTCATTTTCCTTTGTGTTTTCAAATTTGTGATATTCAGATATTTGCTCTGTGTGGGTTAACACAATAGTTCAAGTGTGTCGTCTTGTTATTGATGACAATCTATAATTTAACATGATGTAAAGATTTTTTTTATTCTTTACAGAGTGTGAGGTAATTAAAAGTCTTTTGCTTCATCTCTTGTCATTCTGGTACTTATCCAGTTATCATCGCAAATTCAAAAAAGATAGAACTTGAATTTTAACCGAAATAAAAGCACAAGATCTCGTGGTGTTTCGGTTAATACAAAGTTTCCAGTGTGTCGTCTTGACAATAGCAACAATCTTGCCAAAGTTCCAAATTGGTACGTGTTCTTTAAAAAATGTGGTTCCTTTTGAAATAACAAAAATTTAAACAAAATTTTATTTTAAGTATTTTGATTTAATACATAGCTTCAATTAACATTTAAATTATTTGTTTAAAATTGTTGTTCGAGTGTCCTGCTTAATTTCTTTTCATTCTGGTAATCACTTGGTAGTAGTTATGTAGTGGGACTTCTAGACCAGGTCAAATGGGGTCAAAGTGTCCCAGCAGCCGCACTACTTTTTATCGATCGTTCATTGACGTCTGAGGTCGGTAATCGAATATTTAGAGCTAAGATCGGCTAAAGATTGCAGTATGCGGCAGGTTTTTTGAGTGTAGAAATGCGATATACTACGACGAGGAACTTAAATTCTTGTCCGATGTGTTCTCTCTTTTTTTTCTTTCTGTTTTTATTAGTATATTAAAGAACGAGATTCATAAGGCACATATTAAGGCATGAACCCAAGGTTATAGAACGAGCGGCGAAGCCGAGAGTTATACAAAGGATGAGTGCCACAATGGCCTTATGAACGAGTTATTTATACTATTTTTTCTACCGCGCACGTTTTTTCGCAAAATTTTACTGAAATTTGAGTTTTTTTAAATCTGGGGAATTTTGTCGTGGTTGGTGATGGGTTGGTCTGACGCTAACCACGAAATATTTGAACTTCGAATTTTCACAACAACAATTGTAATTCGAATCAATTCAAGTTTTTGTAAGTTAAAATTGGTTAAAATGTCTTGTGAAGAAGTTAGTGAAGTCCTTACGCCTCCCGAAATACTGGAAATTTTAATTTGACATTTGCCACTGACATTCACCTGACATTTCTCGTCATGGCTACCAATCTTACCCATCTAAATTACACCAGATCTATTTGAGAACCCCTTTCCGCTATTAACGAACCGCTTTGACGTCATTTGGGTGCTTTAATAGCTCGATTAGAAAATCAAAAAGCGTGCGCGTATGCATAATTTTTGACTGCAACTGCAAACTAAATTTTTTCTACTAAAATTTGTTTAATCAACATATTTCAAGAGCTTTTATTATATGATTTGACAAAAATAAACAAAAAAACCAATATATTAGAAACAATACATATGACCAAAAGAACTGATCAAAATAAACAAAAAAGGACTATATGTAATGTATGGAACACAATATATATTATGAAAAATTAAAACTGATTCGAGTTTCTTCGTTAAACCTTCTAGAAACTTTTCCCCTGGATCTAAAAAATAAATTCTTTTATAAGTAAAATAATTAGCATTTCTTGTAATTCTGGTGGATGAGTACCAAAGCTCCGAACTAGTACGTATTCTTTAAAAGGTGTGGTTCCTTTTGAACCAACAAAAATTAAAACTAAATTGAACTAAATGCGAACTTTCCTCGCTTTCCAGAAGGGTTCTCACACAAGTAATCAAAACAGAATGAAATTGTCGCGGCGTCGGCGCGGCGCGGTTGTCACAAAATCCCATGTCCATCAAATTTTTCGAAAAGATAAATAAAACGAATTGTTGATAAAAGGGTTCTATTTGTTTGTTTTGATGTCAGAAAACAGAATTAATTTAACTATTTCTAAACGCGCCATTATAAACCAGTTTAGAAAGAACTGGTTGTAAACTGAAAATAAATAAACGTTATTCTCATTATTGTCACCTACTACAAAGTCCGAGATTATTGCTTTATCACAGCAACCCGGATGTAATAATGGTCGTTACCTTAAAATGTCATGACATGTCATCAATACCTCGTTAATTTGACGACCACGTCCTGAACTACTTATTACCTGTGAAGTTATTACGAATTGACAAGAAATGTCATGTTTAACGATCGAATTCTACACCATTTCATTTGGTTTAATGATAAATACCGAGGTTAAATGTGAAAGAATTCTCACTTTCCGATTAAATTTGCAGTCCCATCGCCTTGCCAACAGCTGTATCTTTTACCTTATTAATCTCGAGTCTAAGATTGGAAAACCTCGAAACGCGTAAATACCTCCAGGTAAGCCTGTGCCCATTTCCTTAGCCTTTTTTTCAAACAGCACTTTCCCTCCGATTTTCAGCCATTCAATATTGACAGTCCGAATAATCGTGACTTTAATTACGAGTCTGTCTCTGAAGTATACTGTACCTTATAAGAGCCGAGATTTTCAACGACACAGGCCAAAATAGCTTCACGCCCCACGGCGACGGTGCTATTAGGGATGGGTTGACTAAATTTGGGATTTTCTGCAACAAGAAGAAAAGATAAATAAGAGCGATCAAATTACTTTAATAAAGGTTGAGCTTTTTAAGGGCGGAATTTCGTCCGCATCGTGCCAAATAAATTCCACGATGAAATTAACTTTGAATATAAATATAAGTGGATTCTTAAAGCGCATTAGAGGGAACCTATTATTTAAAGCAGTATCTACTTGAGCAGTTCATTCGGATTAGCTCTCAATTGCGAATGGGAACCCGGAGCTGACTGCGATACTCACTGCTAATCAGCTTAACGAATTTATTGTTTCCCACGGTGAGATTTACCTAGAAGGGAAGAAACAAACAAACTTATTACTGAGGCGGCGCAAGAGAATAGGTACAAGCCTTAGGACCAACATTTTCATTCGGATAAATTAAAATAGCGGAATATTGCTCGAGCACTCTTCTGCCTGCGCCAGACGCGATACTAAAATTTTAACAAACTTATTATAACTTTAATAATACAATAAAATTAATTAACGTAGAAAAAGCGCCACAACTGACGGAATTACCGAAGAACAGGTTTTAGGTAGTCATTTTGCAGTACACGTAATGGGAGCTTTCGCTCCAAAACTTGCAGGATAGTTTCGAATTTTAGAAATCATAATAAATTTACATACAAAAACAGTTTCGTGAAAAAGTTAAAAGTGGAACTCTTTATGGCACCAGTTAATGTATGCGAACGCTGCTATTTGTAATTACGGGATACTAAAACAACACCGTAAAAACAAACCGAGTTTGCTGTGACTATTATTATGTTAGTGGAGATAACGGCATGTTGTGTATGTATTTTGAAAATAACTGACCCCGGGCAACATGAAATAGAAAATAAAATTTTAATTTTAAATATTCGCTTCGGAATTAAATTTTTATGCACCAGAATTCTATAAGCCGTTTGGTTTATGTACAGAATCTTTTTAACTGAAACAAAACTAAAAGGAAATTTCTTTCTCGAAGGTTTAGAACGTAATTTAGTTGAGTTGCCTTCGTAGCCGCATCAACACAAACTTTTAGTAAATAATTCAATTTTTAGTGCAGCGGTTTTACATAGATTGTAATAGCCCAATGCTTTTACAAGGATGCGCTAGAAAATAGTCGATGGTTAAACCAAACAACGTTATATCGTCCTATCACAGTGAACCCAATCAGGCAACTTTGGTAACTTTTGATTTTTATTTCAGGCTAGTTAAAGTTCGAGTACAAAATAAGGTTACAATTCATTATTAAAATGTGATTTTTCTTAGTGTCCTGTCTAGGAAACTGTAACACGTCTGAAAAAACGCTCTTTTTATTAATCAAAAGCGAGCACGAACCAAAGAGGAATTTGTGAAGTAGCAAGACGAAGAGAATTGTAAATTTTTATTATTCCACACGAAAAAGCAACAATTCACAGGCCACAAAGGAGCTTTATGTTCAAACTTTAAGTGTGGATTTAGTGTTGTAATGAAGCAGTTGTGTGTCTAAGACTAACTATATAAAAAAATTATTACGGCCATAATGTCCTCATTTTAAAGTCCTTTTAAACTTCTTGATAGTTTTTTTCTTAGAAATTGTCCTTCAACAAATTAACGCAATGAAAAGGAACAAACGAAGGAAAAAGCACATTTTTAGTTCTCTAGAATAGAATAAGTCTTTATTTCCATTGTTAATAAAGTGTCCTTTAATGAAATATAGATCTTGCTTTAACTTATGCAACCGGTGACATTATCCAAATCAAACTGTGTGTTTTTTTTTATAAAATCTTAAATAACGAATTTTTGTCATGTTTGAGGTGTCTCATCTATAAGGAGTGGAACGTGAGCATGACTATTTTTATTTAGATACAAATCGTTCGTGGATCTATATATATAGGACTTAAGATTCCTTGAGGAACTCAAATGACCCTATCAAATCTCATTTATTTGCCGAGCCTATACAAAGTTTGATGACCGCGTCTCAAAATTTTGCTCAACAAATTCCACTTTCTTGATTTTGCGATATTTTGCGCAATGTAATCATTGTATTCTACGTCGCTTACGAAAGCCTGTTACACAGTTTGAATTTTTAGAGAAAAATTTTGATGTCTAGAGTAAAAAATCAAGGCGGATTCACAAACCACAAGTACAAGTGTATCTCATCTTTTCAAAATTTTAATGTCGTTTTTTGAAAAAACACTTGAGTTGACTTTATCAAATTGTTGCTGGGGATCACTGGACACAATTTGGTTAGGATTTCACCATCTACACGGTTTTCGAACATAACATAAAATTTGATAATCCTAAAAATTACCGTATGAAGTCGAATGTAATTTCTGGTGATCAGCATCTATAAAAAACTCTTTCTGAGTGTTTTTCGAAGGTGTTCGAAAATGGGTCCAAATTTTCATATTGAATAAACTAGGTTTTTTTGAAGTTGCCCAAAAAATTCCCAAAAAATCTGGAATATATGTAGATATGACCGCACTGATTCAAAATTTATAGTGTGTTTAATGTCTGGAGTAAGATTTTAAAAATATACTGCTTGAAAATTTTTAACAAAAACTGAAAATGACAATATTTCTTTTAGAGATTCTAGAAAAATGGTAACAATTTTCGTAGAAATGAAGCCGAAAAAGATTTTTGGAGGTCGACGTCTACAAAAAACTTTCTTTGGATTATTTTCGGAGGTGGTCTATAAGGATCGAAATTTTCGTAGGTAAGTTCAATTGAGTTTTTCTAAAAGTTGTCAAAAAAATTCCCAAAAATTCTAAATATCAATAGACCTCAACGTACTGATGCGAAACACATAGGTGGTTTAGGGTCCCGGAGCACTATTTTAAGAATCTTCACTCTCAAAATCTTTTTTATCAATAAAAATTATAACAATGCATTGGGCGATTCTGCAAAAATGGTAGTTTCCGAAAATTTCTGCAAGGTCGAAATATACAAAAAATTTAACTCTTTGGATAATTTTCAAAAAGGGTCCTAACCAAGTCGAAATTTTCACAAGAGGGAGTACTGAAAAATTGTGTTTTTGAAAAAGTTATCTAAAATTCCACAAGAAATTGTGGGATATAGATCCGAAAAATATGGATCCCAACGCGAGATTTCAAAAAGATTCGGCTAAATCTAGAAAAATGGCAGGGATCTTCGGAGAAATTATGCCAAAAATAAGTTCCACAAGTCGAAATCTACAAAAAAAAATCTCTTTTATTACCTAATTTTAGAAACAGCCAAAGAGAGTTGAAATTTTCGTAAGGGGGGAGCTACTGAACAAGTGATCTCAAAAAGCAGTCGAGAAATCCTCTAAAAATTCTAAGATGCAGATTTCAATATACTGATCTGAAATATAAAGCGTGTTTATGGTCCCGGCACACGATTATAGAAATATTAACTTTGAAAATCTGTTTTTTTTTTTGTCAAGAAACCTAAAAATTGACATATTTGATCGTCGGATTCTGGAAAAGTGGTAAGAATTTTCGAAAAAACTAGGCCGAAAGTGAATTTTGGTGGTCAACATCCTACAAAGGACTCTTTTTGAGTAATTTGCGAAATTGTCAAAATTGTCATACCGAAATTAGGATTACTGAATAATTTGGATTGTTTAAAGTTTGTCTAAAAATCGTCAAAAAAATATGATATATAGATCTCAACGTACTGACTTGAAAATAAATTTTTCTAAGATTGCCACATTTCGTCGTGTGATAATGGAAAAATTGTAGGAATTTTCGAAGAAGTGAGGACGATAGGAATTTTTGGAGGTCGGTGTCTACAAAAAAACTCTTTTTGGATTATATTCGGAGGTGGTCCTTGAGGATCAAAATTTAAATTGAGAGTTTCTAAAAGTTGTCAAAAAAATCCCCAAAATTTCTGAGATATAAATAGATCCCAACGTACTGATGCGGAAAATATAGGTGGTTTATGGTCCCGGAGCAATATTTTAAAGCAGTTTTCGAAAAAATGAGACCGAAAGTTTCTTCGAAAGTTTCTTGGAAGTCGAAAGCTACAAAAAACTTATTTCTTTGAGTAATTCTCAAAAATGGTCAAAACAGGTCGAAAGAGAGGAGTATTGAAAAATTGAGTTTTTGAGAAAGTTGCCCAAAAATCTACAAAAAAGTCTGGTATATAGATCTCGACGTCGTGTTTCGAAAACTGGTGATCCCAGGGGGAGAATTCAAAAATATTAATTTTGATTTTTTTGCCATAATTTTTTCTTTGGCTAATTCTAGAAGAATGGTAGGAGTCCTCGAAGAAATAATGCCAAAAATAACTTCCAGAAATCGAAATCTAGAGAAGAAAAACATCTCTTTGTTTACCTAATTATAGAAAGAGCCGAAAAAAATGCTGAAATTTTCGTAAGGGGGGAACTACTGAAAAATTAAGCTTCTGAAAAAGCAGTCTAAAAATCCTTTGAAAACACCGAGATACAGATTTCAATGTACTTATTCGAAAGATAAAGCGTGTTTATAGTTCCGGCACACGATTTTAAAAATATTCGTTTTGAAAATCTGTTTTTTTTTTTAATCCTAAAAATTGACATACTGCGTCGTCGGATTCTGGAAAAATGATAGGAGTTTCCTAAGAAATTATGCCCAAAGCAAATTTTGGTAGTCAACTTCTACAAAAGATTGTTTTTGAGTACTTTGCAAAATTGTGAAAATTGTCATACTGAAATTAGAATTACTGAATAATTTAGATGTTTTAAAGCTTGTCTAAAAATTATCAAAAAAATTTGGAATAAAGTTCTGAACGTACTGATTCGAAAATTATAGCATGTTTATTGTCCAGAACAAGATTTTAAAAATATTGTGTTAGAAAATAATTTTTTTTTAATCGACATAATTTTTGGGGGATTCTGGGGAAATGATAGGAGAATTTTCGAAAACCTGAGGTGAAAAGTAAATTCTGCACGTTCAAATCTACAAAAAAAATGTCTTTGAGTCATTTTCAAAAGTGGTGAAAAACAGATTGAAATTTTCTTATGAGGAGAAAAATTGAGCTTTTCTAGTGCTTCGAAATGTGAAGAATGTT